GCTAGTGAACTTGAAGCTGGACTAGCTCACGAGCAAAAGGAGATACCGAGCTGGAAAGACCCCAGGTCTGTGCCAGTTACTGGGTAAGTAGCTTGACGGCCAGCCACGGATTTTAACTGAACTTAATTCCCACGCTAATGTTTAAGGGCCCCGTGAGCATGCTGTGCTTGCGGATCTCGGAGCGATGGGTGTGTACCTTTCACTGCTGAACATCCGTACCGATCAGCTGGAGAGGCAGACAAGGACTGGGTTGTGCTGTTTGTGTTAAGCGGGTGCTGGTAAAGGGACTGCTCTATCCGTGTTAATCTGTTTTGCCATTCATGCCAGTGAGGTGTGTGCGCGTGGTCTTGAATGGGATCTGGCTCTTTGGAAGACAAAGTCTCTGGTACCTGTGCATGGGAACAGCAGTCGCATCCATTGGGCTGAGATGGGAGAAACCTCCTGGGAGCGAGAGTCCTCCCGATTCAGCTCCAGCTCTTCTGCGAGAAGATGTTCTCTGGGAGGAACATGGGCTGGATATGGCGTGCGCAGAACGTGCACGCACACACGCGCACGCACGCACAGACGCACCGCACGCACAGAGCGCATGCACAAAAATGCTGTGTGCACACATACACTGCATTCACGCGCAGGGTGCATGTGCACACACACGCACACGCACACACACAGTGGAGACACATGGGGTACAAACAGAAGGTGCAATGCACACCCACAGTGTGTGCACACCCGTACACACGTCTTGAACACAGAGCGCAATGCACAGTGTTCACATACACAGAGTGCATGCATAGGCATACCTGGCTGGCGTGCACGCAGCCAGCTGCTGGTGGGACCGCTGTGTGCGTGTTCAGTGTGCTAGTGAACTTGAAGCTGGACTAGCTCCCGAGCAAAAGGAGGGACCCTTTCAGTCATGGGGCTGGCATGTGGTTGCAGTCCACCTGGCTGATCAGCCCCAGCACCCACAGACCTCACAAGAGGACCAGGCCTGCCAACCACCAGCCACATCTCCACCTCCTGGAGTCGTGAAGGACTTGGAGGTGCTTGGGCTGTGTATCGGGTCTGACTGGGATGGAGTTAATTTTCCCCACAGCAGCCCTCATAGTGCTGTGCTTTGTATTGGTAACTAGAAAGGTGGTGATAACACACCAGTGTTTTGGCTACTGCTGAGCAATGCTGCTGTCTCTCCAACATTCCCCCTCCCCAGCAGGGCGGGGGTAGGCAAAATCTTGGGAGGGGACATAGCCAGGCCAGCTGACCCAAACTGAGCAAAGGGATATTCCATACCATGACATCTGCTCAGCAGCGAAAGCTAAGAGAAAGGAGGAGGAAGTGGGGGCATTCGTTATTTATGACGCTTCCCTTCTGGAGCAACTGCTACACATACTGAAGCCCTGCTTCCCGGAAAGTGGCTGGACATCACCTGACGATGGGAAAGAGTATAAAATCTTTGTTTTCCTTTTGCTTCTGTGCATGGCCTTTGCCTTTGATTTTATTAAACTGCCTTTATCTTGACCCATGAGGGTTTTTTCCATCTCATTTCCTCCCCTCCCTGTCCTGCTGAGGAGGGGAGTGATAGAGCAGCTTGGTGGCACCCGGCATCCAGCCAAGGCCAACCCATCACAAGCTGCTTCCCACCTAGGCACGTCCCCTCTGCACTAGCTGCACAAGGTCCTGCCTCTGCAGCTGCCAGGACCATCCATCCCATCCTCTTCTTGCTGTGCTCTTGGCCCCTAGGAAGTGATGGTGCTGCAGCTCCCAGCTCAGTTTCCGCCCAGGGGTGCACAGCGTGCCTCCAGCTGCGCTGGGATCTCTGGAGACTGGGGCATGCCCTTTGCTTCACCTTGATCATGGTTTGAAAGGAGCTGTTCTGGCTCTGGAGACGATGCTGTATCATGGTCCCTCCCTGAACAAGTCAAGGGTTTCTTTCAAGAGGCCTCATCTTGAACGTCCAACACAGAGCACAGGGTGCACTGACCCGCACTCCTAGCAGGGTTAGTAATCTCCCCAACCCCCAGTTTGCTACCCCAGCACGCCATCAGTCAGGTGTCACTGAGCCAAACCCACAGGGTAGCTCTAAGGCTGAGCTTGGGTAGTTGGGGGCGAGGGGGCTGGTGGGTTTGGGATAGGGTTCCAGAGTGGAGCAGCTGAAGGGGATGGAGCAGCAAGAGGCTAGGAGCAGCGGCAGCAGGAGGGCTTAGGAGTGCAGTTTGGTACGCAGCAGGGCTGCAGCGTGGGATCCCTGCCCTTCCTGATCTGGCTTTCCCCAAATTCCATGCGCTGTTCAAAAAGGACTTTCTGCAGTTCGATCTCCTTCAGGACTTGCAGAAGCTCCGGCCCTGCACCGCTCTGCAGCAGATCATAGTTCTCGGCTGGGTCTGACTCCAGGTCAAAGAGCAGCGGGGGCAAGTGAGGGGTCAGCGGGGTCAGCCCATGGCAGGCCTGGTCTGGGGTCGTATCACTGTGAAAGGAACCTGCAAAAGAAACCCCCAGGTGTAGCTCAGTTTCTTCTCTTTGAGCTTTGGACAGCAAAGCCACGCAGGACTCCACAAAGCTGCCCACTGTGGTGGTATGCTCCCCCTGTACCCTCCTGCCCTCCCCCCCTACACTTGACCTTTTCCCATAACCCTGCTCAAGCGATAATCACCAGAGGCAGTTGTGATGGATGCATCCAGCTCAAAGTGGATTTGGGGGAGACAGATAACAACACAACAGCCAAGGGCTAATTTACGGCAACGTGTCCGCCTAACCACAGTGCTGGTCAATGTCCGGCTCAAGGCAAAGTTGGAAGAAACTAACACAGGGAGTTGGTATGTAAGTATGACTTTGAGTTAATCATCTAACCCACATAAATAGTGAGCAGCCCAAGAGCCCTGTGAGCTCTCCTGCACAGCAGTGGGCTGCACACCAGGATCTCCCCTTGAGTAGGGATGCCTCTCAAGGTTACTCCTCAAGGTTGAGAGATTCCTTGCCGCAACAGATCCTCGATAAGTGACTAATAGCATGCTAAACTTTGAAATTTTAGCTAAGTGATATAAAGGATTGATTGTGCATATATAATCCTTTAGACATAAGCCATTGACCAAGTCTGGGACTAGGATTGGATCCAGCTGCACCCAGACTCCTCTTTGAGAAGGAGTTTAGAAAGCAAGGGGGTCCTCTCTGAACCTCATGACTCAACGGGAGGGTCTCCCTGACAGTCCTGTCTGACCCTGTCCCCTATGCAGTAAATAATCAAGTGTACCATGCCATCGAATCTCGTTAAACCACTGTTCTGTTTACTATCAAACCCTGTCATCAATAAACATGTTGCTCCTACAAGTGCACTCTCACTCCATCTACGACACCCACGCAGAGAAGAGGCAGCACTAACCTTTTGTGAAGTAATGGGCCTTGTACTTCCCAAGCCTGACAGCGAAGGGGCCATGCAGCGGATCGGGAGACGGCGGGTAGAAGAACATTGTCTGACGGGGACTCTGTGGGAAGCAGCAGAGCTAAGCTCACCTGTGCAGCCACAAGGCTGAAGAAGAGCCTGGAACGGACCAGGCAGAGACCCCAGGAAGTCACACAGGAGCCCCAATACTACAGCCAGAACATGGCCGGAGAGGGGAGAAGCTGATGAGCAGCGGCATCCTGTTTGCTTCCTACTCAAAGCTACTGGGGCTCTGTCCACCCACTGCAGCCACGGGGGTTTGGTTTGGCAACATGCTGCAGGTGTTAGAGCTCAGCAGCCTGAGGAAGCCCAGGAACTCCACGGCATGACCCAGGCCAGACAAAAGGTCCTAGCTCATGGATCTCCTGACCGCCAGCTGGTTCTACTCATCAGGCACCCAGCTCCAGGCACACAGCTCCAGCCCCACACCCAGCCTTCCTGCACAACGCCAGCCAAACCAGCCCACAGGACTCACCTTCCCTGACCCAAACAGCACCGGACTCAGGTCATAGCCATCCAGGGCAACTTTAGGAAGAGCTGCTCCAGCCAGGGTAGCCAGGGTTGGCAGGATGTCCAGGGTGCTTGCCAGCTCATGCGTCACTCCTGTCACCCACCACATCAAGGCATAAGGAAAGGTTCAAGCACCTGATCCCACTCCCATCCCTGCCATCCTCACTTCTCTCCCACCCTCTGCGTGTCCCAGGGCAGCCGAGCTGCCATGACACCCCTGCCTTGGCTGACATCAGCACGCAAAAGGCACAAGCAGTGCCAAGTCTCACCTGGAGTGATACGGCCTGGCCAATAAGCCACTGCTGGTTCCCGCATACCACCTTCGTACGTCGTGCCCTTCCCACACTTCAGAAGGCCAGAGCTGCCTCCACGTGCCATTCTCATGGTGGAAGGGCTGTAAGAGAGAACTACCTACCATCAGTTTCACATGTTCATGCTACCCCTTCCCTGATGCTGCCAACAGGGCCATGACAAGAGAGACATGGTACCAGCAAGTGACACTGCCATCCTTCTCAGCCTTGTGAGGCAGGAGGCATGGGGCAGGTGAAGAAGCCAAGGTGGGCAACATGCCTAAGCAGGGCACCAGAGACCAGTGCCACTCACACGTGAAGGGAACCGGGGTACATTTGGGCTGCTGCACGCTCCTGGCCTGAACCCTGTGAGGTTTCTGCCCACAAGAAGAGGCACAGCTGAGTCACAGGAACAAGGAGCAGATCATGCACTGGCTCGTCTCCAGAGCAGCGCCCACCTCTTGCCTCACTTCAGGTCACCTGGCAATGCCACATCACATCCCTTTTGCCCCAGCCAACCAATGCCTCATTCCAGTTCCCCCATACCATGGCAGAAGAACCTTACCAGTGATGAAGTCCCCGCTACTGAGCCCACTCACCCATTGTCAGAGGTGAAAAACATCAAGGTTGTGTTTGCAAGACCATTTTCCTGCAGTGCCTGCAGCAGCTGTCCCACCGAGCCATCAAACTCCAAGAGTGCATCACCAAACGGCCCACGCCGCGACTGCCCTGCATACTCCTGGCTTGCAAATTGGGGGTAGTGTGTATGCTGGAGAAAGGGCAGAGAAGACTGCTACACAAACTCCCAGAGCCGCATCTGGTTCCCAGTTCACCCGGGGACAGTGAGCACCCCAGCTAGGACATGGAGATACACCATGAGATGAGAAGAGGCTTGTCCCCAAGCTTCAGAAACATCTCTCAGAAATGGCATAAAGGAGCTGAGCCCCAGGACAGGATGTGGAGCCCCCGAGTGGGAAATTTTCCCAGGTGGACTCCTGGCCCGGAGAAGTGGGCAAAGCTCCAGAAAGAAGCAGCCCAAGAATATTATCAGAACAGTGCTGCCACAAGACCTGGGTGTGGGAACAGCAACCCCAAGTCGTCCAGGGATATTGACTGCTCAGCACAGTCCTAGGGCTGCAGGAGCTGAGACGCTTCCCTGCTCTCCCCACAGGACAAAGGCTCCCTTCCCCACCCTTGGGCCCAGAGCAGCCCTCCCCCTCTCCTACGTGGGAGGCATAGTAGAGCAGGAAGGGGAGGCCTCGTCGCGCACAGTCAGCGATGAAGTCCCGGGAGAATTTGTTGTAGAGTGGCACCAGATCAGGGAAAGAGACCGGATGCGGCA